AGCACTCATTTCTCAACAGAAAAATGATGAATGATACTAAAAGGGAAATAGTTGTTTTTACCAGTCAAAATTGTCTTCAATTGATCTATATGTTCCATGTTATTTTTTCAATCTTTTTATTATGATAATAAAGTTACACTATAGTGACATTTCAGAGAATACTTTAATTCTTATTAAAACTCAGAAGAACAGACATTATTAGTGTACCCACAAGAATATACATTTCTAGTAGCTTGCCAGTAATCACACAGGTTAACCTGCAGGGTTAGTACTCAAAATAGCTTCTTTGAACTTCAACTGACACAGGGTATAAAAATATCAGGGATAGGCTTGCTTGATCATTTTAAAATAATTTGAGATCAACCCATATGTTATTAAGTAAAAATAAAAAATATCTTAAATTCATGTATGATTTATCAATTACCTCAATTTCTACTTTCTGACTTGTGTAAATAGACACAACCAAAAAGTTCAATAACCAAATTCCAGTAAGAAAAAATGGTGCATAATTAGTGCACATCTCTTCCTTTGGGGAGGAGAGTGACTTGATTTTACATAGGGTATTGTTTTTCTTAATTAATTGCAGTCTGTCACATGTTTGTATATGATTGCTACATAAATGATTTACAAAGTGTTAAGAAGTTTTATGGATATCTAGAAAGAATAGTATAACTCAATAAATAAACTTTTACAAGTGTTGAAGAGAAATTTTACATTAAAATGTTATTTTGTTTCTTCGTCCTGAGAGAATGAATCTTTTTAAAAACACAGTTAAAACCAAGCATTAGATATGCAAATATGTGTTCAGATCAGAGATACCAAAATTATTCAAATGATTAATTATTCATCATAAAATGTCAATTAATAATTATGAAGCATAAAAGGCATCTTTCTAATGCATCTTTATTTTTCTTGGCCTAAAAAGGGTTTAATATACATGTTCAATTGACTACTAACAAGTTTTAAAAATCCAACAAAGTAAACAAATTGCAAACAAGTGCAAACTCTGAATTTTAATAGGAGAACAACATACTCAAAATGAATGAAAGACAGAAAAAAAAATAAGTAAAACTAAAACCAGAGCCACATTCATGACATACACAGCTCCATGTTAACTCACTTGCTAGGCAATAGGGCAACTGGCCAAGAAAACAACCCAACAACTGAAGTTGTGAATTTGCTTAGCCTCTACAAAATACAGGACATGATGTTTTTCTCTGAACTGATCAATATTCCTGAAAGGCAGGGGTGCTTTAGAAATTTTTTACACTTTCCAAACAGTCATTAAAAGAAAAAGCACAGCTTAAGTTTCTTTAAATTACCTATTGTAATTTCTAAAGTCTGTTAAGCATTGCTAAAATACCACCATAAATGAGAAATTTTTTTCACATTGCTTTAAAGCTAAAGAATTTCCCTATATCAAGTATTATTCATTTTTCTTCCAGGAAGATTCTGTCTTTTAAGAAAAAAAGAAGTCAACTTGAGCTGATATGGTAATTCAGGATAAGGAGACATTATGATTACCGAGATATAGATTTATATTTATTTTATTACTATTATTATTTTACTTTTCACTGACACCTGGGGAACTTGTTCTGTGATGACCCAGGGAGTTATTTTAGTCAGGGTGTCCCTGACCTCCTGCTGGTAGATTAATTACATATGAAACTGTATTTTCAAAACGAAATGATAAATCTGGACACATAAAGGAGGCAGAAAAGAATCAGAGCGAGAGAGGAGATCTTAAGAAACAAAACAAGGGATTGCAAAAGGGAGATAGATAGGATCCTGTAGGAAATGCAATTGGGAAAGAATTTCAAGAAAACAAGGATAAAGGGCAGGGAGGGCCGAAAGGATGGCAAGACGGAGGAAAGAAGGGAAGACAGGATTCGGGGTTTTTCAATTCCCAGGCGAGGCTGCTGGCGTCCGCGCCCTTAACGCCACAGCCTTCCAAGTTGAGGCGAAAGCCACCTCCTCGGGCCTGCGTCGCATCCAACTTACTCCAAGTTTGCTGGTGACTCCTACAGGGCCCTTTCCGTCCCCCCTCCCACCCCTTGGTGAGATTGACAGTCGCGTGGAGGAGGCTTTTCCAGGCACAGGCTTTCTCATGGTAATCAGCCCCCAGCATCACCTCCCGGCCGCGGCCGCTCCCGCTCCGCGCGCAGCTAGCGGACCCCGGGGACCGGAAACAAGGCGGCGGGCGGGGAGCCGGCCAGCGAGCCAGGTCAGCTGACCCGGCCGCAGGGCGGGGGTCGCGGGGTTCCCGGGCGGGGAGGGCAGAACCCCCCTCCCACGTGCTCCTCCGCCTGTACTGCGGGGGCCTTACCCTGAGATCAAATGAAGGGACCGAAGCTGGGGGCGTGGGGGACAGAGCGCGCGGAGAACTGGGGGCGACCAGCAGACCTGTTTTGCATCAATAAATTAAGACGCTTATTTGAGTCCTGAAGTTTGCTGGTTCCTGTCAGTGGAGACGCTGGCAAAAAAAAAAAAAAAAAAAGCTCTGAAGCCGAGATTCAGCCTTAACTTCAAAAAATAAAAAAATAAAATGAACCGCTCAGCTGGCCGCCCTGCTGGGGCCAGGTGACGTGCGAGATTCCAGAGCCCGCGGGCCTCGCAGCAGGGATGTTAGAGACGGTCTGAGATTCTCTGGTCCTGTTTTGATTTTGTTTGAAAGGGCTTCTCAGAGAGATGCTCCTGATTTTTTTTTTTTTTTTAAAAAGTTTCCCCCCTCCTATCCTAGGCTCAACTCCGAATGGATTGGATTGCGAGTTCGCACGTGAGAAAACCGTTTGACTTGGCTCGGACCCCTACCGCCCCCCACCCCCTCAACACACCCCGATTGCAGGGGTCCCCCTTATCACCCTTGCCTTGCAACTCTAAAAGAAGTTGCCCACCTCCTGTGTAACAGCACGGTCGAAATAATTCCTCTGGATGAAAGATCAATTCCGTTTCAAAAAGAGAATAGGTTCCTTTTTTTTTTTTCTCCACATGGTACAAAATAAACAGAATTTGCTTTATAAAAAAAATCATTAGCTATGGCCAAATTCGAATTCCTGCTACAGCCTGTGTGTTCAGGGGCAGAAACACTGTATCTCTTCGGGCATCTGGGCCGACAAGGGGACCTGGGGGCAGGGGAGAAAAGGGGAGCTGCTTGTGAGAGTTAAGGAAACTGACAGACTGAGAGGTGAATGGGGGGACAGGCACCAGGTCCTGGCTGGAGGGAATTGGAAAACAAAAGTGCATCTTCACACGCTGCCTGGGTGGAGGGAATTCTGAGCGAGGCAGTTTGTTTTACTCAAAGAAATCTTAAAGCATTATTTTTCTCTCGTCATGTCCATTGCATTGCAATATTATTTCACATTTGCATGTATCTGTTGTTTTAATCCCCTTGGTCTGCGCTAATCTCGAAATAGATTATTAATGGGGAAGAAAGCCCGGGAAGGAGCGATTCATCTGCAGGACTTGCTTTGCTGTGTGTGAGGAGCCGAAAGCTAGTAGCTCCTAGTCCTCTCTCGACTTTTCCCTGCGTCCGGCGCTCCAGCATCCCGCTGATCCCACGATCCCCATTGTCCCCGACCTGGCCTTCGGACTAAGGGAGTGTTCGGAACATATTTATATCCCGGCTTCCTCCGATCCCACCGCCTCTGCTGTTGTGGGAACTCTCTTGGTCAAATGGGGAGGGGAGTGTCGGGGGCGTGCCAGGCGGAGGAGGAGGGCAACCCACCAGCGCGCTCACCCCTCGTGGGGACGCTTCGCGTGCCACCGGCCAAATATCCACCTTGATGGGAACTTGAAAGATTGCTTTTTTTTTTTTAACACCAATTCAAATACTTGCACGTCGGAACTACCAGTGCTAAGTGTTGGGGCTGTCTCCTGCCACTCGAACAATTACTGAACCCAGAGTAATCAGATGATTAGCTCTTTTTAATGGAAATACTTGTCTTTTTTTTTTTTAAGTCAGATCTTAAGTAACCTGACATTAATATACATAATAAAGACAAGTGATTTGTTAGCCGTTTGATTGGATCCTTTGACCTGAGGTTTACCACTGACTGTACGTCTGGGCTCTAAGCTCCAGTGGCTCCCTGGGGTCCTCAGGTGGAGTCTTACCTGGAATTACTCCATGCCAGGAACACCTTTGTCCTGGAAATGGGAGAGGAAACGCTGAAAAGCAAACTTCTACAGAAAGCTAGACTCGATTTTTTTTTTAAATAAAAAAGTAGGGGAAAGTGGGAATTTTTAAAAAGGATATTAATAATAGAAGTAAATCTCAGAGGAGAAACTTGATAAGTCATATATTTATAGAGATAGGAATATTAAAGAAATATAAAGCATAAAACTGAGAATGTGCCTGACCCATGGTGGAAATCTTTAATTTTCTTTTTTTATTATTAAATTTTAAGCTGATGATCTCAGAATGCTCCTCTATAAGTAAATTATCTGAGTGGGGTGGGGGAGATGATTCTCATTGTAATAAATGCTTAAGGTAGCAAAGAGGTGAGTCTGTAATCCACTGTGAAAATGTACTTCCTCACATCCTAAAGTAAGTATTAGTTGTGGTCATGCTGGGTGGCTATTGCCCCCTCCCCAATAAACATACAAAATACAAAGCTGCGCACCTCTGGGAATGTGGATGTGGCAAACCAAGTGGTGGCTTTTCCCTCCTCTTGAGTGCAATTGCCAGTGACTCTTGCATTCAAAGTCTTGCTTTAGGCACACATTCAAAGTACAGTTCAAAGCAGTTTATCTTAATGTGAGTAAAAGTCTAGTGTTGGATCAGGGTGTTGTTTCAGATTTCATCAGACTGAAAACTGGGGGCTGTAACATATTAACAATATTAAAGCAGAAAAAAAAATGGTATGAGACTGTCCTTCAGTCCTCTTGACACCTCCACCTTTACCTTTGCAAAGAAGTCCAGGACTGTGGGACTGAAAGTTTATTTGTGCTCTGAGGTTCTCAAGCACTTTCACTCTTAAAAAAAAAAAAAAAAGCCTCACAGTTCTTTAAGAAATTGAGCCTGAACCACTGGAGGCTGAGAGATTTCTTCCTTTTCCGATAAATGCCTGTGCTCAGCATCCTCAAATTTGGCTGTCTTTATTTACTTCTATATTAGTTCCAATTATGTGCAGTGTAAACCAGCTTTTTGATTAACAAAACAGCAGAGCATTGGTTAAGAACACTTAAACTTCAAAAAAAATTCCCCTGGGAAGTAGGCTCTGAATTGGTTAATAATGTGCAGTACTTGCTAAATTGCTGACTTCCAGATGTGGAAAATATCTTTCTTGTTTAGGACCTATGTAACCTGATTGGATTACGACAGAAGCGTCACGTTGGAAGCTTTTGAGTGATTATTTAATTAACCATACAGTAGAAAGCTGTATTCTCCAGGAAATCCCTTCCATATTTACATAACCAATCCCTTCAGAGCAAAGGTGGAGTCTTTTCTTTTTAATTTTACTTTAATTGCAATATCAAAAAATATATACTCCAAAACTTAGACCCCATGCCGTTTAATATCGTGCTCTTCCTTCCCTGCTAAATTCCTCTATGGCCTTTCTCCTTTTCCTCCTGCCTCCCTCCACACACTCCCTCACTTTGTAGTGAGGTCTCCTTGAGATGTAGAGAGATTCAGAGATCGGTCAACTCAGCGCTCTATGTTAATTTACTTAGAGACCCTTTTTAAAAATGCCAAACCACTTTTTAGTATTGGGATCCAATCCAGAAATTCATCACATACACACACCCCAACACACATGCCCTAAAATGCAGCTCACATGCAGCAATTTTCCCCCCTCTGGCTCTGGCATCTTGAAAGAAAATAATAATAATAATAATAATACGAGAAAGGGCAAAAAATTTAGTTCCAGAAACCGTGCTGAGAAATCCACACAACTTAATGTGCATCTCAAATCTGGTTATTAGAGATATCTGTATAAGAAGAGGCGATGTGGATTGAGGAACCGGGATCTTTCCCTTTAACTTTCGCCCCTTAGAGTTCTCCAGTTCTGTGAATGGTGTGCACCGTTTTCCGCCCTGTACTCTGTAGGATTTAGTGATGAGGATAATGATGCCAAAGGCTTGACGGGGGGGGGGGGGGGGGGGGGGGGGGGGGGCGTGGAGAAGAGAGGGAGGGAGGCAGGCAAGAGGGAGGGAGAGAGGAAGGGAGGGAGGTGGAATTTCATTTCTTCCACTAAAGCGTTTGCGGAGACTTCAAGGTATAATCTATCCCAGATCCTTTCCCAGAGAGAAACTTGGCGATCACGTTTTCACATGATGCTCACGCTCAGGGCGCTTCAATTATCCCTCCCCACAAAGATAGGTGGCGCGTGTTTCAGGGTCTCTCTCTCTCCTACAGAAAAGAAAAAGAAAAAAATGTCATTAGAAGAGGCGTAACACGTCAGTCCGTCCCCAGGTTTGTGTTTCCTGGAGTGGCCGAAAGAGATCAGTTCTAACCTGCTCCGCAGGAATAACGGTCCTGCCTCCAGACACTCTTGGCGAGGTTTTGTACAGTTTGCTCCGGGAGCTGTTTCTTCGCTTCCACCTTTTTCTCCCCCACACTTCGCGGCTTCTTCATGCTTTTTCTTCTCACCATTTCTGGCCAAAACTACAAACAAGACTTCGCAGGTAGGTTTTTTTTTTCCCCTTTTTTTTTTTTTTTTTTCTTTTTTGGCTTGTTCCCCCCCCCACCTTCCTTTTATGATTTTCTCCTTTTAAGTGGGGATGTGAGTCTAAAGTGAGAAGGAGTGTCTGTGGGTAGGAATTTCAGGTGGGTTTAGCTCCTTTATGGCAAGCTTTTCCCAAGGGTGACTTCTTCGATTTTTCTCGCACTCCCTCTGTCTCTCTCCTTCTTTTTCTCCCCTTTTTTTCCTCCCCCAAATAATTTGCCCTGTACCTGTCCATTCAGGTAACCAAAGGTGCCTTTTACTACCCAGCCTTGGAAAAGTTTTATTGAGAACTGTATGGTTGGAATAAAAACTCTTCAAGGGGAGAGATTTTGCTCTATTTTCACGTCTAGTTCCAATTCATTGTATTCAGCAATTATAACTTGGCAAATACCTGTTAATAATTACAAAACTTGATGGACACAAACCTACCAAATTCGGGAGCAAGTCTTTCTCTTAGATATGGCAGTCCAACCTTTCCCACCGAAGAAGGCTGTTTTCTAAGTAGAAAGTTGCCTGTTTTCGTCTGCTTAGCGAGTTTCATTTCTTTATTTCATTCTTTGTGTGTGTATGTATGTGAAGTAACACCTCACTTCTGTGATGATAAATAAAGAAGTGAAAGTCCTCATGGAACTTGAGTCGTTTACCAAAGTGGGGGGGGGGCCTCACTACAGCTGGGAAGAAAACTGCCGTCAGGATGTTAGGGTTTTAAATTAAGGATAACTTTTGAAATTGTATTTCCAGTGGCAAAGTCATATAGAGACAGAAGATACACTCAAATATCCCATTCCATACTTTGGCACTGAAAAGTCGAGATAGCAGGAGTTCCCAGGAACAGGGGTGATCCCGGTTAACATGAATGTGTGTCTCCCACCTACTTACATATTTTACATGCTCCCCCTATAATGATGAAGGTAAGATTACTAACTCCAGAGTTAGAAATAACAGGCAAAGATAAAGTTTACAGCACAAATGCCCTGTCTGTCCCTCACACACACATGCTCATAAAACTAGCAGCTTACTTTATTAAACATGTATTTATATGCAATCGTGCGTAAGTCTCAGCAGGAATACAGACAGCCCAGCTGTTTCATCCCAGACACTTGTGTGTCCATTTCTGTATTTCAGGATTTTTCCCAACAATTTCAAATCCACAGGAGAGCCAAGACATGACAAAATGTGTCAAACTTAAAAGGCTGCCACTATGCCTAGGTTAAATTCAAGGTGCTTTCTAAATCATTTACTTCCCCTTCTCTCTGCAAACCCCCCCCCCCCCGCCCTTACCCCTCTCAGCAAATGTGTGGAAACTGATACTCACTTTCCAGGTTTTCCGCAAAGCTTCTAGCACAGGAGACAATAGGTGCGGGGCGTGGGGACCGAGTGTACTCGGCAGAGAAAGGGTTAATGGCCCCTGTGTTACAGTTTGCATCTGTTACATCTTTTATAGCCCCCTGTTTAAACTAATCCTCGAGGCACAGCATCTTCCCAACCTCCATCGAGTTTCGGGATTCTCCTCCTCTCCTGCCTGCCTCCGAGGTTCCCCTTCTCCAAGTTTTGACAGTTTCAGCTGAAAAAATGCAGCGCCTCTCTCGATTTTTAGGTACAAAAGTTTCGAAGCCAGAAAGGATACGATCATTCAGTAGGGCTGAAAAGTATTGTCGTAGCGGTTGGACTTTCTCTTTCCTTTCTTGAGGGGAAAAAACAATTTTCTACTGGAACTATTTAAGGGAACCAGTGTGGGGGAGCATGTGTGTGAGTGAGGTGGGGGGAAATACTTAAGTAAATATTGTCAAAGTGGAGTGGGGGGTGGTGAAACAAGATGAGAGCTAAAGCAAGCTTCGCCTCACCCCAAGTTGCCGAGCCGGGCTGAGGACTTTTCGGAGGAAAGGGTCCGCCTAGCCCTGAGTCAAGCAGCCTTACTGTACCGCCGTGTGCATTCCCTCATACGGTCAGGAGTTATGACTCATTTTGAAGATGTAATTCTTGTCTCTCTGATCCCCTCGCGGGTGCAACACACCAAACAGTAACAAACACAAAGCGCCTCGGGGCCAAGGCTGGGGGCGGGGGGCGGGGAGGGGGCCGCCGAAGTTTCGCTTTGGCGTTGGGGGGCGCGGATGGGTGCTCGCCCGGGCCCTGGCCCGGCTCCCCTGGGCGGCCCGCGCGCGTTTCAATGGGCGCGGGCGATGCCCACATTGTCGCTGTGTTTGGTTGCTAGATCGAGCCTGCGTGCTGCCGAAGCAGGGCGCCGAGTCCATGCGAACTGCCATCTGATCCGCTCTTATCAATGAAGCAGCCGATCATGGCGGATGGCCCCCGGTGCAAGAGACGCAAACAAGCCAATCCCAGGAGGAAAAACGGTAAGAAGCGGCCCGAACCAAACTTTTCCGGGCCACTCTGCGGCTCCAGACCCGGGGAGAAGGAGGGGGAGAGGGAAAAGGAACCGAGGCGGCGGCGGCGGCGGCGCCCAGGGCTCGCGGGCGAGCCTCCCTCCGCGGCCGGCGCCGGAGCCCGTGACACGGTCAGGAGGAGTCCGTTATCCAGGCTGAGTCGAGAAGGAGGAAGGAGATGGGGGTGCAAGGGGGACACGCAGAGCGTGGGGGATCAAAGGTGTGACAGCTCCGTAGGTCCATCTTAGAAAGAGTCAAGGGAGGCAGAGAGTGAGAGCCGGAGAGAGAGGGAGAGAGCGCGCGCGAGAGGCAGACCCCCTAGGTATTACCCCCAAACAAAATCGTGGGAATAAAAGAGAAAAGTGATTGGCAAGAGCGCAGAAGGCGCCTGGGGGAGGGGAGAGAGCTGGGGACCGGAGAGGGTGCCGGGGGGTAGCTGACGGAGGATACTGAGTTGAAAAAAGAAAAACCAACCCCCCAAAACAAACAAGCGAACTAGCGCCAGCTCAGACTGGGAAAGGAAACTTCTCGCTCCCCTCGGTCTCAGCCCGATCACCCGGCGCGGGGCCGCGTCGACGCTTCCGAGCTGGACGCGGGGACGCGGCGCCGGCCCCGGCCTCGGGTCTCCCGCGAACCCAGCCCGCGCCTCGCGGGGACCGCCGGGGCCCACTTGGAACAACTTTCCTCCCGAGAAGACGATCGTGCGCCCCCGGCCTGCCCCCGAGCTGCGGGGCGCGGGAGGGGGCGGCTGGGGGCGCAGTGAGGGGCGCTGGAAGGAGAAAACACAAAGAAGAGGGAATTTTGATTAGACACAAATGATGCTTCTCTGCCTCTGTCTCTCTAGGTTTCGTGTGTGCGCGCGTGTGTGCGTGTGTGCGTGTGTGTGAGTGTGTTTTGCTTGTTGTGGTGGAGGTGTCGAGCCGTATGGGGGAGTGATAGAGGAATTTTACTCAGAAACTGTTCGTTATGTTATCCTGCCTTTTCCCTTTGTGCTGCCTTTGATCTATTTGCTTGGCTTAGTATTACAAAAAAACAAGTACAATAATATATACCAAGCTGCTTCCCCAAGACCCAGTGCAGGCTGCCTCTTTTTAAGTCTCTTTCTCCCTGTCTCTTCCTCTCTCTTAATTTAATTTTTTCTTCACTCTAGTGTCTGGCATTATTTAAGGTGGTCCTTACACTGGAGACCTCCCCTTCCCCATCTCTGGGTAATTTAGTAGACACTAAAATTACACCTAATGTCCCCCTTTTCTCTCTTGTGTTTCCTCTGTTCCTTTTATTAAATGTTGGTTATTGATTTTCTAAAATCAATGTCTGTTGTGGGGCTCTTCCCCCCCACACACAAGTATCTAAAGCACATTGCTTGCTGATCAACTGGATAACAAAAGCTTTGTGTCAAGGAGGCCTTATTTTTTTTCTTATGTTAAACAGTCATTTTTTTGAGAGAGAGAGAGAAAGGAGAATAAGATTTAAAACAAGGTTCCCAGAAGTGTTCTTTTGCAGGAGAGACTATTTAGCATGTTTGCTTCTTCTTGTCTGCCTCCTCCAACCCCCTTCGGGATTTTGCCACCGTTGACCAGCCTGATCCAGGCTGTGAGGTCAGACCAGAGCCCAGGTCTGGGAAAACAGAATGCTGCAAGCTTCCTAAGAGCCCTGGGGCGGGGATTGGTAGTGGGGAAGGTCTGCTGGGGGCTTCACAGGTGGAAGGGAGCACCGAGGAGGTGCAACCGTGGACACTGCTCGGTGTTCAGTAACGGGACCCCATTTCCCTCTGCCCAGCCACAAACTTGGGAGAAGCCCTAACACTCTGAAGTGGAAAGTTGAATTGCACATTTTAGAGGCATTTAGCCCAGACCCTGCACACTTAACAGCAATAATTATTTCCCAATAATCTGTGGGGAAACATGCTGTAAATTCGTTACTTGTCAGCATTTTGCTTTGGGTTTAATCTGAGCAAGGTCCTGGTTTTGAGAAGCAGGTAGAAGAGTTTTTCCCCCTCTTTTTTCATTTTCTTTCTCATCAAGTACGTATCCAGTGCCTTTCCCTTTGGGAATTGCTAGGATTTATCTGAACTGAGTGGATTTTTCTTCTTTCCTGGATTCATGGAAAAGATGTCACTTTTGAGCTTGTGTCTTTGCTGATAACACTAAATATGATGATGCTTATCAAAATCATATAGAAATTCCTGGAAAGGAATAATGGCAATACTAATCGTAGAAGTAGTGACTGCATGAGGAAAAAGAGAGAGAGAGATGGTCATCCAGGAAACTAGAATGGCACTTTATATAATTTTAATGAAGTCAACAGTGTGTGTATAGACTAAGGCTACAAAGAGATAAAACGTGTAAAGCAGTATGTGTGTGTTTGAAAGGCTGGTCAAGAACGTGGGTTAAAAGACGGTGCTGTATGCGATTATTAAAAAGCAAAGGAGAAGGAGACAGTTCGAGGAAAGCAAATGTACAAAGAGAGAAACAAGAGTCTAAAATCCAGGCTTCAAGATTCTCAAGCTAGCAAGATGCCTGGCAAAGACAGTGCCAACGCCAAGTTAATCCATAGTGGACAGTCTCCTTTCCCCCACATGGAAAGGATGAAATCTCTTCCCAGAAAATAAGATGTGCAGGAGGGAAGGGGGAGAGGGGTGAGGGAGAAGGAGGCAAAAAGCAAGTTGCCCGAAGACAAGAATGTGTGTTGGTTTCAAGAAAGTTCAGTCAGATGATCTTCAGTCTCCTGACTCACTTTGTAATACTTTCACTGAAGCTGGAGAGGAGGGGGAAAACCCAGCCCCCCTTTTCAGTCCCCTGATTATACCCCACTATCTCCACACAGCCTTGGAGGCAGAAATGAGCACTTGGGAGCAGGAGGTGCCTGGCTGCTGCCTGCCACTGACCCGGCCCGGTGGTAACTTGCAAAGTTTGTTGCTTTAGCCCCCGATTTGGGGATGAGCTCCTGGGGATGCTCCGCTACCCTCCTGCCTCCTGCAGAGCCTAGGAAGATGGGCCTACCTCCCCAGCCCACCACCTCCCAGCATCAGCCTCTGAAAAAATCACACAGACACAGGGACATTTTCATAAAAATCAAACCCGGAAACTGCTTGTTTCAGAAAAGGGAATGAAGTTGTCTTTTAAATGGAAACTGAATTATGAGTGGTAGGGAAGAGGAAACAGAAGAAAGAAAGAAAAGTTAAATTTAATTTTCCTCCAAAGTTTCAGCTAAAGCATTAGGCATTGTGTAGTGGAATGGGGGAAGATTTTTACAAACACCTTTGGTCACTGATTTTTAGTGGGGAAGAAAAGGGATGAAGTTGGATGCTTTCAGGGCTTTAGATCCTAGAGGAGAAACAATCAGATGAGCAGAAATGATGATCCCTGTTTAAGATAAGCCCTCACTCCCTTAACCACTTCCTGAAAGGGAGTAGAAGTGCCAGTGATGATGCTGAGAGGCAGTGGAGGGCAGAGAAGTTGTTCCCGTTTCAGAGATGCTCAAATGAAAAGGAAAAGAAATGCAAGAAGCCCCTGCTTCAGGATGTGGCTCCTGTCTCTCTCGTCTCTCTTTTCAGAGAGGTGAAGTTGGGATGGGGTGAAGCTGTGAGCCAGAGCCCCTCAATACACTCTGAGGCAGGGAAGTTTCCTTCGAATTGCAGTCGGTTCAGACTCGGTGCTCCTTGCAAGTGTGGAAACCGTGTGCAAGTACCTTTCTGGTAAAGTTGATGAGGTTCCGAGGAGGTGGTTTTGCTGACTCGCAAAGCACTCAGAAGCAGTTTGTGTGGCAGGTACCAGCTCGGAGGGTGTGCCCCAGATATCCATCTCCATCCTTCTGTCTCTGTGAAGAGCTTCTGCAAGTTTTGTCACGCTGCACACACACATGGCTGGGGGTTATGTATCTAGACTGATCTATTTGTTTTATTTCCGTTTGAAAAAACTCAGTCAATTGGGGATAGAGACATGGCTTCCTTCATAACATAGCCACTAGCCTGCTGGTATCCATAGCGTGACTCTCCACCAGGGGTAAGGGTGGGGTAAGGATTTGAAACTTTACGTTGTTTCTCTGTTGCCACATAAAGATACATTCACGTCTTTAAGCATTTATTTCCAAATACGACCAAAGCCAAGACTGACGTTCCCCAGTAAACTGCTCTGTCATACGTTTCAGATGCTTCCTTTCTTGCTTGCTTAATTTACTCGAAGTAAAGAAAATTCCAAGACCCTAATGCCATATTAAGACTTTTGCCTGGGAAAAATGTGTGTGTCTACCCTGAAGGTAGGAAGGGAGGCTGTTGCTAGCTCTCTGAGCAGTGCTGCGTTTATTCCAAGATGTGGGAGAGTCTTTTCCTCACAACAGTGTTTGTCATCTGTATTCTTCCAAGGCTTTTAAGGTGCATTTTCTTCTGTGTGAAAGAGAACGCTTTGTCCTTTTCCTCTCCAGCAC